TGACGGAGTAAGATACGATGTGGGGCAAGAAGGCAAATGTTTCGGCTGTGCTCATCGGCACAATTATGAACGACGACCAAACGAGGACAACGGTAGGCCCAAAAGAGCGGAGAGGCCTAGGCTCAATACCCCCCACCCCCACAAAATAATTACAAAACGAATTCGTCACTCCACATTGTTTGTTGACGTTTTTAGCTTGTAGGCCTAGGACATGAACAAGAGGACACATTTTTTTGAAAGTTCGCGCCTAATACGATCTAGTCTTTGTAGTGATTGACCTGAGGTCACATTTCACCTTATAATCGCTTTTTTTTTGTGTTGCAGCTAAAAGGTGCACAGCCAAAATCGGTTATTTGCCCTTCAAACAAGCTATCCATTGCGTGTTTTTAATCGATTTTTTTTAATCGCTATTTTCAAACTGGTCCCGTTTCTACTGCAAGAATAAAAGCGATTTTTCGAAAAAGCGATTTTTAATCGATTATTTCTTTCCAGTAGAAACAGGCCCTTATAGTTTTTGTTCTTGTTTATTTACTTTTTAAATTATTTTCTTTTATTGGTCATAAGGTAAATTAAGGAGAGAAATCTGGTTCGAGAATAGTTCCTTTACAGAATGTCCGTGATTAGTTACGAGAGCCTGGGGTTACAACAAAAAGTCTGGAATCATTTAAAAAAAATTCCATATCAATATTGACAGTGATTGCTCACTTTATCATTCATTCATTCATTCATTCATTCATTCATTCATTCATTCATTCATTCATTCATTCATCCATCCATCCATCCATCCATCCATTCATTCCTTCCATCCAAAAGTTTGGGGCGTTCGTCTCAGGATCCGTTTGTGCTTGTTCCCTGCTGTTTCTATTCTTGTAAATGTTAATATTTTTAGACAAATAAATCAAATTGAAAATCACGGTTGGTCATGGTTATGAAATGTTTGCCCCAGACTGGACCCCACACACATCGACATTAAATGCAGTGATGCCTTTATACTACAAAGATTAGGCTCGTGAAGTCAGTAATGGCGTTCCATACTACTGAGCCGCGGTCTACACGCATGCTCAGTTGACACCGGTTGACACTCTGTGTTTGTTACCGTCCATCCAGCGTTACCAACAACAATTTTTTTACGGTCGAATACAATAATAATTAGGCCTAGGCGCTATATGAATCATGTCAATAATGTAGAGTATTATAATTGATTGTGTAAACGGCTTATCAATGGATCAACAAGAATTTAGGTCTGTAAAATTTCATTTTTAAATCATTGGTTTTTTGGTTTTTTTTTTTTAATTTTTACCAGAACCTGGCCTAGGCTAGAAGCCTAGCCTACTTCTTACTTAGTTAGGCCTAGTGTATTGCCATTGGTAGAGATCTAATCCTAGGCTAGGCCCTAGCAGGCCTAGGCCTATATTGTTGGAATGAACTTTTTATTAGTACTCCACCCTAACCCTAGGCCCTTAACCTCAACTTCAGTCTTGCTATCTTAATGTTAAGGTTAAGGTTGTACTAAAGTGAATTAGCACCGGTGGACCATCTATAGTAGGCCTTGTAGTGTACTAACACAAACAAGACTTCCCCAGCCTAGGCTAGGCCTAGTCATGTAGGCCTAGCCTAGGCCTATCTCTAGCAAATTTAAGGCCTACAATACAACACAGACAGTTATTTTTAAAAGAAAATTTGAAAGTTTGGACAGAACTGTATCTGTTTCAGTGACCGCACGCGGCACATTGTACTGGACCACCAAATTTTAACACTACAGTGGTTACCAATTCCTGAGTTTGCCTGAATACTTTGTCACAGAGTTGCTGATGACATGTTTAACTTTCTATCTATACCATATCATTCATCATTCATGGATTTTCTCCAGAAACGCAAACTGTACATGCAATTAAAAAAATTGAAATTTATGCAAGAAGAAATTATACTTAATAAGTAATCATTTTTTATCATTAAAAAAAGATCATTTACAGACTAATTAACTTATTAATTTAAATATTTGATTTTTTGTTTCTCATGGTGCACAGTGCAAGACATCCATACAGTAGAAATGCATATTTAGATTATAGTATTGCTATTGATGATGAAGAAGAAGAAAATGAGCTACTTAGACGCCTAGAAGGAATGGGGAATATGGAAGCTGGAGATGAGGATGATGAGGAACATGAAGAGGTTCTTGAATCAATACATACAAATAAGCATACCAAGAGGTAAACATTTTTTTTTAATAGTTTGATTGTTATTTTATTTCTCTCTCTTTTCAGAAAGGATGCTTTTATGCCATACCGTTTTTTTTTTTAATTGTGCGGAGGATATCAAAAAAAATCAGCTCAAATTTGAACTTAAAATCTCTAGGAAAATATGTGCGTGGAATCATAATTTCTGCAAAATTGCATTGGTTATATATTAAGATTTGGTCAAAGCCTGATTTTCGACAAAATCTGCACAGAAATCGGCCTTTAGTTCATTTTCATTTCATTTTCATTTATTTATTTGACATCAAACGGTCCAGGGGGTTGCATCAGCAACAATGCGCCATAACACGAATGTGTCTGCAACCTCTGTACAAACAACAGATTACATTGTTAAAATTCAAATATTTACAAATTCAATAAAAAAACAATTCAAAGACCAACAAATAGAAAGGTCCAGTAAAATAGAATAAAATGCAAGATTCACAAAAAAAAAGACAAAAAAAAAAAAAACAAAAAAAAAAAAAAACCAAAAAAAAAAAAAAAAAAAAAAAAAAAAAAAAAAAATATGCAGTTGAAAAGGGAAATATAATTAAAATGAAATTTCACAGAATCAGGGAGTTGCAATTTATACAAAACTTTATGTATTATCAAGTAGGTGTTTTCTTAACTTAAATAAAAATAATTTAATAGGGTGAACAACAGCATAATCTTTAATTAAAGGGGGAAGTTCCGAAATATGTGAATGGATTTCTAGGCCAAATTTTTGCGCAGAGGATATATTCCCTATGCATGCCTTACGGTACAGTCTGGCTTTAATGGTTTTTTTTTTGTTTTTTTTTTTAAAGGATTTTAATTTGTTTATTTTATTTATTAAAATAAATTATATAAAATATAATATTTAAAATTTAGTATTATATTATTATTATTAAATAAATTATTAATTATTTTATTTCTATTTTATTTATTTATTTCAATTTATGATATATTTATTTTATTTTAGTTATAATTTTATTAACATATTTTGTTTACCTTATTTTCTTGTAACTCACAATTTGAGATTAACCATTGTGGTGATCCCATCTGCTAGCATAATCTTGTATTTCTAATTTACATAATTTTTCATACCTGCAAGTAGCGATATCACTGTTGGAAGAATTAAATAAAACACTTGCTTGAAGTATTGGGTTGTTTAAAGAAGTTTTAAGCTTAAAATGACACATCCAATTCAGAAATTGAAAAAATTTCAACTCTTCAGTACCGTTGGGTGATGAGCAAGATGAAAGGAAATAGAAATTATATAAATGATATAAATAATAATAATAATGATAATGATAATTTTTTTTTTAATTGTAGAGAGCAAGAGACATGCGTGCTGCATTTAACGAAGGACAAACCTCCGCTGATTGGTTGAAGACTCACAGTGTAGAAATATTTAAATTGACCCTCAAAGATCTGCTTGTAAAAGGAGCTGTAACAAAGTAAGTACGTTGAGTGTACAACCTCTGCTGATATGCTAACTTAATTCTGTATCATTTATATGTTAAGCAGGCCTCATAAAATTAATAATTAGACTATGAATTTCAATTTGAGCACTGGAAATATTACACAATTTGAAGCATTCAAGACATTATTAAAGTTGCCATCTTAAAAATTCTGTCTTATATCACTTTAAAACATATTTATCCCAGGTGACACCCGATACAAACTATCATTTAATGGTCAGAAAGTTATATGTGTGTGTTTACAATTGATATGCAGGATAACTGTACTGTTACCTTGTGTATTGGAAATTAAGGTTACATACTAATTTTAAATTAAAAGATGTTAGTTGTTGTAGTAATAATATTTTAATAATGAATTCAATTTGTGTTTTATTTCAGGCCTAATTCCGTCGAGTCTAAAGGACAACACCTCCAGTTTGAAGCTAGTGCTGTGAATGAGTTTGAGTACAAGTTATATGAGTAAGTGTGGTATTGATACACAACAAAATTTACACCAAAATGTTAATTTCCTTATAATATCTAAGTAGAGAATAAAATATTCATTTCCTGGGGCAGTCAAGTGTCTGAGTGATAATACCAGTAATAACAGCCTCAACATTGTTGCTAGTTCGAGACCCTTTTTTTCCAGGCCTCGGTCAGTAGAAGTCTTTTCAAATGTAATACTTACATTTGGCCCTTATGCACTTTTTAAAAAGAAATATAAACATTTTTTGAGAAGATTGATTTAACCTAATGCTTTGGTTCATTTTAGCCCCTGTCATTATGGAATAAGATCATACTAAGCACCTCTCTACAGCTACTACAGTAGTCACAGACCTCATCATACATAATTCAGCACAGTGTCGCTGCAAGATGTGGTTACCTTAATACTTCTTTTTTTAAATGCAGATATATTTTATAATTAAATTTTTTTTTGTATTTCAGATCAATAGAAATGTATCATAACAGAATCAAATGGCTGCTGCAAGGAAGTAAGAAGGTAATTGATAAGATTTTATATTCACAAAATATAATTTATTTTATTTTATTTTATTTGCATCCAAGTAACTCACCAATTACAGGATGGATGATGCATTATAAACCAAAGTCTTCTAGAGTACTGGGTTCAAATCCTGTGATGTCCATTATTTTTTCAGTAAAAAAAATCTTACTTTAAGAGTCTTTGTTTTTCCATTTACAATATAAAACCAACCATCAAAAAGGAAATGCTGTGTAAAAACAGAATATATCAAAATTATCTGTTATATAATAAGAATTAAAAAAAAAATCACATCTACATTAATTTACCGGTAATAATGCCATCTCTTGGAACTCATCATCTATAATTTAAGAAGATGACAATATATATTGCAAACTCATTATTAAATGTACTAATCTGACTTTAATGAAATATGACTGATACCTTATGATGTTTGTCATTCTCCAACCTTGAAACAGTTCTAAACTGCTCTCAAAACTCACCTTTTTCAAGTATATCTTATCTAATAATGCTGTCAGACCTGCTTAAGAGCGCTTTATAAATATTCAAATTATTATTATTATTATTATGAAAGGAAGGTAAAAATAGCATCCACAAACATAGAGAAAGCCTTACTTTGTTCAAAGATAAAGCAATTCGCAAAATTGTGTCTGAATATAATGATAGTTTTGTATTATGTGATGTAAATCTGAAAGAATGAAATTGTAATAGCTCACTTCCTTTTGTTCAGGTGTTTGGCATGGTGAAAGGTTCAAAGGTCGCCCTAATGGTTGATACGTCAGACTCTAACTGTGGATTTGGACGGCTGAGTGACTTCCGACGTTGTTTAACTGTAAGTTCATTTTATTTTATATTAAAAATTGAATGCATTTAAAATCATGAATAGAATAAAGCCGGGAAACTCACTGCGTCTTACGACCCTCGTACGACGGATCCAACTCCTCTCCCTGCGAGTGCGTGATGACAGTCTCCAACTCTTTTACGAAGAGTGTACTGCGTCTCATCCACAAGATGGTGCGCTATCCCTCCAGCTGAAACGCATGGAGAGCAGCGATGTTAATTGAACCGGGGACCTAGAGATCTCAACGGTTTAGCACACACACAGGGATACCACCAGGTTAGCCGACTGAGCTAAGCTTCTCTCATCACCATAAAATCGCGACGACCCTCTGTCACAGTGAGTGCCCGGTTTTAGTGTATTTAAAAAAAAATTTTATTCTGGGAAAATTTTCTTTGCACTGGTCTCTAAAAATGTCTAGGTTCCTTTGTATGCCCCATGTAAATTCAAGTCTTCAAAAAAATACATAGGATTCATGCATTGAATTAGTTTTGCCCCTCATGAGGTATTATCGTACTGTTTACACAGCTTAAGTACCTAAAGCAGCCTTATCCATAAGGAACTACAATAATCATAATAATGTACTCAGCTTTTATAGCACAAATTTAGTCAATTTTAAAGTGCTTAATATTATTACCCCAGGTCATTGGATTCATGAATTGGTAGATAGGTATTGATTGATGGGTAAGGTGGGGCATTGAAAGTTTAATTGGTCTCTGCATTGACTTTACTCTCCAGGGAGAGGAGAAAGTTTCAATATTCCTTGGTGAAGAAGACGAACATATTTAAAGTCCCTTCTTACTTAAGGACACAAGCAAAATTCTAAGTAGGGGCTGCTCAAAACTTGACCTCAAGTTAAAGAACTACAACCCCATTGCCAGCCAGTATTTTGAATGTGAGTCACTTAATTTGTAAATTATTATTTATTATAGGAATTGATTGATGATCAGCTGCACTCCAAGGAAATGCTGTACATGATGTCATTTGCAACTGACACCAGTTCATTGTGGGACTCACCAAGATTTGTAAATATCAGAGTGTAAGTCAAAATGAGTTTCAATTTTAATTAAAAAGACTGTTGTATTTTTTTAGAGCAATTAAAAGAGAATCCACAACAAAAATCAAAACATATAGGATCTTATAGGACCATTGATGAGTCCTATAGGAATCCTATAGTATCCTATAGCATCTTAATTCTTATAGGATCCTATAGGACTATTTTGAATGGGATACGTTTACACAGTTGACCATTTATATTAGTAAACATGGTATGCTAATGAGTTTGGAAAATCAGTAAGTTATATAGATACATGCTGCAAGCTAGCATTTCTGAAAAAGAGTAGGGCAGTGGGTGGCTATAAACTAGCATGCTGTAAACTGAACTAGGTAGAGAGCTTTACTTCAAAGTGTATTCATTCTCTAATATAGTCTTTTACAACCAGTGTTTACCGATTCTTTTATTGATTGTGTCTGTAGGTTGAATGAGGCTAGGGGTTGGGTGAACAGTCTTGAATGTGACGGAGGCTGCAACCTGCTGTCTGCTCTCAAGGCTGTGACAAGAGTGCCTGATGTAGACTCCATTCTACTTGTCCTTGGCAGTTGGTAGGTTATCCATCATCTATTATTCTTTTAATCACTGACAATTGATTACGATATTATTACTTGATACATTATTTATAGTATATTTTTGATATAGACATATTGCTATGAAACAAATTAATAAAATATGCATTGTTGAAGGGGCGCAATGCCAATACTAGTGAGACGTTAAGAATATGGGATGTCACTATTGCACTCTTACACAAAAATAATACAGTAGTCATCTGCATAACTAAATATAAAAGAATTTATAATATTAGTTTTGCTGATAATGTATTTACAGCCCAGACCAGACTTCTGAAGTGGTGATAGACTACATCCAGCAATTAATAGTTGGAAGAGATATTCCTATTAACACTGTTGCCTATGATTGCAATAATCATCTCACCAATGTAAGTTCTGCTTTTTTAAGTTTCTTTCATAATTAATAAATGGCATATCATTGTATACCTTGTGGTAGAAAAACAACAAGAGTTTATAAGTTTTACCTGCCAAAATATTAAGATTAAGGTTATAATTATTTAATAACGCATAGCTTCAACCTCAAAATTTCCCAGGTTGCATCCTACCATAAGACCTCCTATCTTGAGCAACCCATGAAATATAAGGCTTGTCATCCCCAAAACAAGTGTACAGTCATCATTTTTCCCCCTCTGTGCCCCCCTCAATTTTGTTGTTTTGGCTTGCATTGATCCATTTTCAACTGATTTTCATTAAAGAAAGGTATCAAAATGTGCAAGATACTAAGCCACTTGTTTAAAACCTGTAAATTTGGTATTTGAAATGTCAGCCTTTTTAAAACCCTGTATTATAGCCCACCACTTTTAAAAATCTTTTTTGATTATTTACAATTTGTTGGTCAATTCATTTGTAGATGACACTGCGGAATCTAGCAGAGGTTTCTGGAGGTCGCTATCATGTGTACACATCAAGTTCAGTTGTAAGTTATTGTGCATTTATAAACTAAAATAATGCACATTTGACGAATTTAAGAGAAAAAAAGAATAATTGTCATTGATGTTTATTTTGATAATGATATAGTCAAACATTTTTTCACTTTTCAAATTTATAACAGATTGAAGAGATGAAAATATTTATTTTTATTTTAACACATCTAAATATATTTTTATCATTTGATTGGTGGATTTCATATCATGTGACATGGGTTATTTACACCTTTTCCTCTTCACTCATGAAAGTTCTGCTATATCCACACTTTTTTTTCCATTTGTTTTGTTCCATTGCATGCCTCAACCTAATACAATGTTTTCATTGGTTGAAAGAAGATGAACTCATTCAGAAGAAATGTAGACCTACCTATTTTCATAAAAGATCAAAAGACAAGGATCTATTTTATGCGTGTAATAAAATGACTAATGATTGTTATTGTATTCATGCAATTGAAAGAAGATTTATTTTTTATAAGATTAACTGTTCCATTCAATGAGCCAAGTCAATCTTTCGATTCCTAAAAATATTCTTTCCATTAAATTCATCAACATTCATTATTTGTACAATATGTACAGCTGTGAATCCATACCTGATTATAAATAAATAATTTTCTCTCAGGAACAAATTTACTCTGGCACTGATATTATGCTGCTGTTACGAGAGATAAAGCAGGCACAAGACGTCATTAACAAGATCCAGGAGATGAGGCAAGGCATGCTGGGAGATGCCCTCGTGAATATTCTGAATGAGGTAATCTTTGATGACATCAGTAAATGTGGGAGCGTGTGGTGTAGCATGTAAGGTGTTGGACTTCCGATCATGAGATCAGGAGTTCAAGACCAATGCTCGTCGCATTGCATGTGCGTGTAAAGCAGAAAGCACAAAGCAGAAAAAGTTGCACAAAAATGTGCTGTTTTGCAAACTTAGTATCCAGTGACCAGGGAAATACTGATGCCAGCTCCTTGTAATTTTTCGGTTTGTGATAGGCACCATATAAATCCGGATTCTAAAATAAGAAATTAAAATATTAAAAAATAAATAAACAATCCATAAAACAAAAAATACGTTGAACTAAAGAAATTTGAAATGAATTTGCCAAATTTTGAGCATGGCATGTATAAGTTGCTGGCATTATTTAAGTAGAAGCGGGGGGCATCAGTTGTGGCTTGGATTCCCAACCTTGAGATAAGGTTCGGGACTCTGGCTGTGCAAGTTGCTTGTGTCCTTGGGCAAGGCAATTTATCTGCATATGTCTTTCTGTACCAAGGAGTATAAATGTGTATCTGGTAGGATTTTATGGCATCAAATGTACTGGTTTTGTGCGCTGAGTACAAGTTCACGACTAGTTGTACTTTTCAGGGAGCAGATAAGGTTGCACTTTGTGCTGGTTGGTCGTTGCATGGTAATACCCAGTGACTATAACGCTCAGCACCTTTGATCTTCATCTGGATTCGGTGCTATATTCAGTATATCTTCGGCATTATTAATATTATAAAATTTTTTGTACACTAATGTCAGTTTGTGCCCACTTTATTAAGCGACCATGTTCTCAACTTTCTGGACAACATGTTAACCTTAAATTTTCTGAATTTAGATTTCACTTGAAGTGCAAAAGCTTCCTCAATCACGTTTCTTGCCGAGACCTCCTAACCACACTGGTGCATTGACAATTGAAGATCAACCATTCCATCCGAAGAGTTCAGATGATTGGCTTAAGCAGAATGGGCTAAAGGGTAATTGACAATATCTTGTAGCTTCTTTAGATTAGAATAACAGCAGATATGGATATAATATTCACCTTCTGCATTGATCACCATAAATATATTTATTACTATTATTATTATTATTATTATTATTATTATTTTGGAAAGCAAACAAAATAATATCTCTAATAAATCATCAATATTCAAATTAGGTCTGATTTAATTTTTAGGTCTAATCACATTTGGATAGGTTATGCAATTCCCTCTCCAAATACACCACTTTCAAAATAAAGGCCCGCTTGTTACTGGTGATTTCAACATTGCCCACTGTGCACATTTTGACGAAACAGATGAAAAATAACATCGCGTAGCTGGAAAACCGCTAGTTGGATGGGGCTGAATTTACACTTAATTTGCCTTTGAAAGAGAATGACCCTACTGCAAGTCTGCATCTGTTTCTAAAATGTTATTTTGCTTTTTTTCTTTATCATTTTCAGCTAAAAAGTTAAGTCTGTACCAAGTAATGGCACCTAATGCTTTTGCTCCTGTTGAAGAGTTCATACCAATTATAAGGAAATCGGTTCGATCCACATTGCATGAGGTATGTGTGATATCTTTCAATATTGCTTTTTATCTTAAATTAACATCATCATAGTAGTGGGTTATTATTATAGATTTACACTGTCTTTCGGATAAGACGTTTAAGCTGTTATTCCTGTGTGCATTATCCTTGATGTTTACCCTAAATAAATCCAATCCAATACTATTGCACACATTTTAATTTATATGAATTTTATTTTGTTAGAAAGCAATGACTCAGTTTGAGTGGCATGATGGTTCTATCAGGAATGTGCATGTGGATCCAGCCCAACTCTTTGACTATCAGAAGCAACTTGGAGCTCTGGTCAAACTCTATGAAAAGAGAGTGGATTGGTTGTCTAGAGACAGCAGACGATTGTTTGGAACTATTATTGAGAAAAGGTTGGCATTGTAAACATATCAACAATATAACATAAATTATGGATATTCTACATATTTTGTTCCAAATCCTGTCGTGTTCTAGGTTTTACAGAGTGTAGGCTTATAGGTCAGTTGTATGAGAGAAAGTGCGTGGATGTTAGATTTGTGCCTATACCATAGGTCTCTTATGATCTAATGGAATAATACTTGCCTTGCTAGCGAGAGGCTGCAGGTTAAAAATCCGGCTAGATTTATACAACTAAAAAAGAAACTCTTCAATTTAAATATAAATTTTAAATGGTAAAGATGAATGTGAGATAGTGCAGGATGTTTTTTTTATGTATGTGTATATATATATATCTTATATATATCTTATATATAAAAGATATATAAATAAAATGTATATTTGATTTATTGATTTTCTACAGAATAGTGATGATGATAGACCTGTCCGCTTCCAACATCAACTACTTGATACACATCCAGCATTCCTTGAGAATCCTACTGGAACAGCAGCTGAGCAACAAGCAGTCATTTAATGTTATTGGGTATGTGTCTGGCAACCTGCCATCACACTTATGCACTGCAATCTACCATCGCAATTGTTTATGGCAGCCTGCCATCACACTTGTGCACAGCAACTTGCCATCACATTTATGCACTGCAATCTACCATCGCAATTGTTTATGGCAGCCTGCCATCACACTTGTGCACAGCAACTTGCCATCACATTTATGCACTGCAATCTACCATCACGCTTGTGCACAGCAACTTGCCATCACATTTATGCACTGCAATCTACCATCACACTTGTGCACAAAACCCTCTATCACACTTCTTGGCCTCGTCAACTTTTGCCAAATACAAGACCATTCCTGTCTCTTATACACATCTAGATGTGTATAAGAGACAGGTGTTATAAGATATGTGGCAAAGACAAGCCGAACCAGTCACTCATCGCAAATTGTTTTTCAGAGATAATGACCAAAACATGCTGGAATATCAAATTTTTTGAAATCTGTTTTATTGCACTAAACTAACTTTTACGTATCTATACATCATGATATGCTGTTATTTTCCCTATTTTCAATGTTAACTTAACATTGAAAATAGAGAAAATAACAGCATAACAACAACTTTTAACGATTTGGTGATGGCTCCAGCCAGAGAAATGCCTGAAATCATCACTTCGAAGACTGATTTCTCAAAAGTTGATCTTTGAACAGCTGTATGTTTAACACTTGTAACTTCATAAGGAAATTTCGGATTTCAATGATTTTTTTAAATCATTTTATAGCTCTTTTGTATTAATGACTAAAAATTGATTTTTGCAACGAATGACTTGTTTGGCTTGTTTTTTCAACATATACTTTCCCTCATTTTGTGCCCGAAAAAGTGTCCCCTTATAAGCATTCCCAAAGGAGGGGTTCTACTGGAAATTATTTTATTACAAGGTGCTTGTTTAATACCTGAAATCAAAAACTATTACAAAATTTTAAGGTGCTGTATTCAGTGCATTATGCTGCCACTCTGTGCATCCTTGCTCAATTACTTTATTTTAAATGAACAAACTGTCTCAGACAATTATCCTATTTATGTACAGTTTTGGAAGTGAAGCACATTGCTGGAGACCATGTCTACAAGAGCCCACAGAGAAAAACCTACAAAGTGTGTGGAAGTAAGTAGAAGATATATATATATATATCAAGGTATCTTTATTCAATAACACAAAATGCAATTTCCATGGCAGTCCACAGAACTGAATCAAGAAAAATGTTTACGAAAAGAGTAAATCATTTAGTGCATTATCGTTGTTATTATTATTATTATTACTATTATAATAATAATAATAATAATAATAATAATAATAATATAAAAAAATATTATTATTATTATTATTATTATTATTATTATTATTATTATTATCATTATTATTACACCTATTACTATTACTATCATTATTTTATTATGATAATTTTATTATTGTAATTTTTCCCTACCTGACTTAGAAATGTACTGAGTACTCAGTACGTGTGAAAACAATTGCGAAAAAAGCAAAAAAAGTAGGGAACACTTGATCCTCGCCTTCCATTCCCATGGTCCTGGTTCAATTCATGTCACGATTACAGGATTTTTTTCTCACAACAGTATGTAGAGCATCTTGTGTGACGTATGTTTGTCTTGTAAAGGGGTTGTCATTTAAAAGAAAATTTACCATTATGGCACCGCTAGATGGCCATCTGCCCCCACCCCCTTGAATCAGCCACTGCTTCCCATGATATTTAAACTTTTGTACTTAACTCAGGTGGATCCTTGGTCTGGAGTGTGGAGGTAGTAGGAACTTCATGGCTGCTCTTCGTCTTGCCATGGAGACTGAGGATGACCACAAGAGAATGACAGGTAAGATGTCACAAATGCTGGTGTGAAAGTTTATATTGCATCTAGTTGAAAGCAGTGGTAAGTAAGTGCTGGGGGTTTATGTGTGTCTCACAGAAGTGGCAGGGGAACAGTATTTAGTGAACCCCTCCTCTACCTAACGTTAAAAATGACTGCATTAGAGGCAATGTCAATACTGTTCAAAATTTGCGAGTTAAAAACCTGGAATTAATATTGTTTTATTGCAAGTTGTGAGTGTGCTTTTATTGGTCCATGTGTCAAAGTAGTAGAATACTGGGTAGTAGTAGGAAAGGGGCCCTTAGCGGCCCATTTGGACTGGGGACCCGAAGCTTTGCCCTCAGTGGTTATGCCATCAGTTGAGAGAGCTGCATACATGTATGCACAAAATTGTTATGGATTGTTTTGCATTGTTTTCCCAAAGAGCCCAAATACATGCATGATTTTACAAAAAGTTATTTTTCAAGCTTTAAGAAAGCCAGAAGCATTTCAGAATAAATCCTGCTTGTGGTTAAAGTATGATTTTCCTATTATCGTCTTAGGGATTTTAATGTTCCTTGTGAATATTTCAACACTGATTTGTCCATTGTTTATGAAATGTCTTTTGTATTCTTTAGTTGTTGAAGGGATTTACCTGTTCACCAGCGGTATACCTGACCAACTTCCCGATGTCATTTGCTCTTATGTTGAAGAAGCAGCTGTTGGACAGGTGACCAAAATTCATACAATCCTTTTCAATGTTGACGACTACGATTCGAACGGGGCGATCCCAGGTCGGTACGCCAACATCACGCAGACAGCGGAATGTCTGAGAACTCTGGCACATGTTAGTGGTGGCAGGTTCCATTGGTTCCGTGAAACAGGCATCATTGAAAGTGATGACATCAAAGCAATCCTTTCAGAGATGGATAGAGCAGTTAATTATTCCCAGAAAGTAAGTTTAATTGAGAGGTCACAGGTTCAAATCCTGTAAGAGGCATTTTATTACACAATTTCTTTATTTATTTATAGAAGCTTTTTAACAGGGAATGTGTACTAGAGTGCAAGCACTAATTCAAGAACCCTCTAATTCCAAGTCCCCTTTAATACAAGACCATTCTAATATGAGACCACTTTAAAAAAGAACCAAATAATAATCTGTTGGTGGTATTACAATTCTTTGTCTTATATTGCAGTATGTTTGTAATTGTTTTTAAATGATGATTGTAATTTTTGTATCCCATAATTGAATTGAAACCTCTGTAATTAAATCTTTGGGCTGCCAAAGATGTTATGAAAAAATTTACTTGATTTGATAATGTCAATATGGGATTGATTATTTTAGTGTGCAATGTTGTTGGATTCAGTGAAGAAGAGAATGCCAAGACCCAAGGAAAATGTAAGCTTTATACC